TTTCTTTATTTTTAAGATCAAAATCAATGAAACAAAAAGTCGTCGAAAATGTGGAATTAGAAGGTAATTAAGGAAAGAGATTAAGAATAGAGGGAATGTTAGGTATGAGTGAATAGACTGTATTTCTTAGACAACAGGTTATCCAAGAGTTAAGTATTAACTCAAGAATATTCCTTATTTGCACTTAAAGAACAGTTTCGTTGTTTTTGATTATTTTAATTTTGTTTAAATTATTAATTATCTAATAACTCGATTCTATTGTTATAGTTATTAATATTAGTTATTAATATTTATAAACTATTTTTAACTTTTATTATAACATTAATGAATTTAAAAACTTATAATTCTAGAAAAATTCTGAGGTATTTTTTTTATTTTATTTGTCGTATGAAAAGCAATGAAACAAAGAGTTGGCGAAAATATTGAGACAAAAAATAGTAAACTTATGGTTTATTTCAAAAAAATAAAGTTCATCAGTAAATAGACAAGAGTTAAGTTCATATTTATTCACGTAAAAAAAGTTTCATTGCTTTTTATTATTTAAATTTTGTATTCAATTATTTTGACATATTTTACGATTTTTATTCATAAACATTTTTATAATTCAAATTTTTTTTTTGATTTTTTTGCAATTAAATTTACAGTAATCGGTATAAAGAGTAATATTGTAACAAAAACATAACATTTAATCTTTATATCAGCAAATGTAAACATACAATGTAAAGTAACCAATAACCTTTATCTCTTAATTATATAACTAATAGTAACCGATAATTACTAATAGTAAGTATTATTATGTAGTAGTAGTTATGTATAAATATTGATATTTAGTTGTTTTTATTTTATTACTAGTAAATATTAAAATCCTTTGTTTAGTTCGACTTAAAAGTAACTTAATTTTTTTAAATTGTTTAATTAATTTGTTAATGTAATTAACAAAAATGGGATCAAAATTAGCAAAACCAGAAAAAAGTGATGAAACAGTTATTGAGAAAATTAAATTATTTCATGTTTTTGACGATAAAGTCGGTTATAATGTATTGTTTGTGACAAACGATGATATGGTTTACATTTGCTGATATAAAGATTAAATGTTATGTTTTTGTTACAATATTACTCTTTATACCGATTATTGTATTGTTTGTGACAAACGATGATATGGTTTACGGCATGGGATCTAATTATTACGGATCACTCGGTTTGGGACACAATAGGGCTGTCAATACACCGCATATTATACCAGAATTATGCCACAAAAGTATTAAACAATTTATTTGTGGTTTTAATTTTGTGCTAGGTATTAATACCTATAAACATGTGTATGAGTGGGGCAGTAATAAATATGGACAATTAGTCAATCATGCTATCAATGGATGTTTCAAGCCTTATATTATATCGTATTTTAATGACAAAAATATAAGTGATATTAACTGTGGTTTCTATCATTCACTGGCGCTCAACACCATTGGCCAGGTATACGGTTGGGGTTACAACCGATTTGGTCAGGTGGGTTGCGATAGCACCTCGATCGCAATACCGTTACCAAGGCAATTATATTTTAACCATAATAATAATGATAAGTTTAAAATAAATAGCATTTATTGTTGTTATAACTGTTCATTTGCTGTGACAACGGATGGACTGGTGTTTAGTTGGGGTGAAAATCATTTTTTCAATTTGGGACACAATTTAACGGATAATGTATTGAAACCGCAATTAATAGTAAATTTAGTGAACATTAAAACCGTGTGTTCGTCCGGAAGTGAGACTTATTTTCTCGCAAACAATGGTTTCATTTACTTTTGCGGAAAATATAAAAATTCAAATAACGATAATTTCATTCAAAAAACTATTAAATTAATAAATAACCATGATAGATTAGCCACTCAATTTTACCTCATAGACTCTAATCAAGATAATTGTTGCATAACAGCTGCCATTATTAACAATAAAGTAACAGTAATTAACTACTCCAACAAATATGAGAACACAAACTATACAAATATATTTGATTATTGTTTAAATATATTTCAAATGACTTATAAAACAATTAATTTCTTTGATTATAAACACTATAATTACGATAAAATTGAGAGCTTTAAGTTGAAATGTTTGCTATTTCTGCGCAAATTGTTTACAGATATTAACAACTTAATTAATGCTATAATTAATATTAATTTGTTAATTTAATTGCAATATAAAATTGAAATTATTTTTAGATTCTGGCTAAAGCTATCGTATAACTCACAATCTCCACATTTAATTTAGCTTATATTTTATTCACCCAGTATTGAGATTAACCTATACCTCGAAGGTCAATTCTTGTTTTACTTTATAATATAAAGCTATTAGATTAATAATCACACAAAGAATGGCTGTTATGATATATTTATATGGTTTAAGTTATCAAAATGGGTTTAAACGCAATTTTATAGCATCCTTATCCACCAGTAATTTACTACCAAAAGTATTATTGAAAATTACTGAAAATCATCACAAGAAATAAGAATTTAATAGAAAATATATATTAATAAAAATTGCTGAAACAGAAAAAGTTCTGGATTTAATAACAGATAATTTAATTGATTATATTCAAATACAAACGTAATATTAGGGATTATCAATCAAACAATAATGATATGTAATTGGTATTAGTGCCTGTGAGCCGCCCCTTTGACCCACTGGTCATATTTCTCTTGTTCTTCCGCAGTCATCGTATATGGTTGAGGATATGGTTCGGGATTAGCCAAGGGTTTTGGATTAGCCTCTGGTTCGGGATTAGCCAAGGGTTCTGGATTTGGGTTGGCCTCGGCGTAGGGATCGGCTATTCGTGCAAAGATGTAATTAAAATAAAAATATACATAATACTTAAGCTGATATGAATTCTTTGATTGTAAACACTCTTATGCATTGAATGCATTAATTTTAATGTTTGCGTAACAGCTATGAAGGCATTAAGCGATATGTGTTTCTTATAGGAATACTTCATATAATACGTACCAATTGGGTCGGACAACACGGTATGTGCGCTGATGGTTAATACGGCCACGGCTATCATGATAGTTATCAGGCGCATTGTAGTTTACAGTTGTGGTTTACTTATAAATATTTATGACTATCACTTTAAAATAATAATTAATGAAATATAGTTTTGTGCAATATGTATGGCCAGATGGTTTGTCTTACGTGTGCTAAATTTTAATTAATATAAAAGTTGTGATATCATGTGTGATATTTAACAAATTAAATCTATTATTCTGAAAGGACAATTATTTATGAATGACCCAAAATGTTTCCTGTTTAGAGCACATCTTAGACTCTAAGACTTAGAGTTTAGCACTTCATGTACTAATCAGTGATTTAATCAATAAATTGTTATATTTTAATTGTTATAAGTTTATTTACTAAAGCTAATTATTTTTGTAATAAATTTAAGCTAAGTATTACTTAAACTTAATTTTTAAGTTTATTTTAATTGTTTGCATTATAGTGAATACCGACATGAAAACAGTTGATAGAGAATTAAATAATTTAATCAAAGTTCGTTCAGAATATGTCGTACAATATATCATGTATTGGAAAGAAATGAACAAAAATTGCCAAAAGGTTTTCATTCAAACCGAGTTATGCGGACAGAGTTTAGGGTCAGTCCTATCACTGAAAGGCCCGGCGTTTGGCCGCCGATCGGCCGAAGAGGCCATGAATTTGTTTGAATATTACATTTCGTGTCAAATATTCTCCGAGTCATTCATTGGGACCTCAAACCCGAGAATGTGTTGATTGCAGTCAATGCCGGCAAATGGTGTCTAAAACTCTGTGACTTTGGTTTAAGTGAAGCCTTCAATCAATTGACTTATAAAAGAGATGCGAAATATTTATCGCCCGAAGAAACTAATGGACAAACTGTTGATTACAAGACAGATGTTTACAGTGCGGCCAAAATTGGGAAAAATATATTTGATTTACAATTGACTTGTAAATTGTGAGTATATTTTATAAAAGATAAAATTAATTTGTTAAAATTAAAAAATACACGTATATTTTATTACAATTAATATATTTCTAGTTTACGTTTGTATTCTTCGGACAAAACTCTATCCAAAAGTGTGACTGAATTACAAAAAGTGTTGATTTTTATGCAATCATTGGATCCGAAAGATAGACCCGATTGTCGACAAGTATTACAAGAGTATAACCACTGGTCTATTGATAGCTTTCTTGTGGCAAATGATTACAAATATAATGATTTACTGAATGACATAATGAAACAAAATAATGAGTTTTGTAGAGAATATATTTTATCAAAACTAAAAACAAATAAATAAAACAAATTTGCCTTTAGTTTTACCCTTGATAGCCACTATGCTAATAATTTAATTTAATTTAACTAGTAACTACTAATAATTTAATAACTAATAATGTATAATTTAAAATTTAGTTAGTTAATTATAAAAATATTTAACATTATAAATAACAACTTTTAATGCAATTATTCTGACTTATTCACACATTATAAATTATGAAAGTTTAATATGAATAATATATTGTTACCTCTTTCATATCTTAAAATATAATTATAATTTACAAATAACACCACGATCAATTAATATTTTTAATTGTGTTTAATTAAGACAAACAATTATTACTAAACGTTCCCTAAAAAAGTTTATAACAAATAAAAAAACTTGTGATTAAGTCATTGAAAAATCAGAAACTTATTAACAATGATGTCATGGAAAATAACGTGCCGTTGGGGGCAATGACTGACCCAAACCCTCAGCCATTGGCAGTCAATACACAACAATCCATACGTTATGTCACTCTTAGTGCACGTTATTTACGGACAAACCTATGAAAAATCATTTTCGCATTTAAAGCACAAAACCTGAAATACTTGTTGTTATTGTGTTTAAAACGGGAGACAATTATCACTAAAACAAGTCTTAGCGGACATCAACTCTAGAAGTGATACATACAAGTGGTGGACACAATCCGAAGACATGCCTCAGAATGTGGACAACGCGTACGGATTGGAGACAATCAATGGTCGCGTGTATTACGAGTGCTTTCTATGCGATAAATTGGTGGTGAAGTGCGAGAAAGACATTGTCCGACACGTGTTTCGGGACCACTTGCGGTCACAATCCGTGACCACAACCCCTCCCACGACTCGCAGACAACCCGTGGCCACCGGTCGGGACAGTCACGCGTCCGGCCATACCGTAAACAGTGGCCAGAAGTCGAGTTCTGATAAACACATACAACCCGTACCGAAACAGGCGGCCAATGACAGCCACCAATCCGCGGATCAGCTCAACGATCGTACGTATAGACAGAGAGATATAAGGTTTTATAATGACATATGTTTACCATTAGATGACAAATCCGTGGCCACAATATCGGATCAGAACAGAGACAATGCGAATACACAGTCAAAGAGTTTGCGCACAAATGAACGCCCGATCGCTAGTCGATCGCCGGCTCACACTTCTGGCCAGTCTTTGCTGAAACGTCGCCGCAATGGCCGCAAACACGTCGTCCCCAACGACCAGAAGTTGATCACTGATTACTGGCCGGTGTCTAGACTGCAGGCAAAAGAACAGACAACTAAAGTCAAAACCAATGGATCTACTTATCAAACAAGTGCTGAGCCATTATCGGCGCCGACCACTGACCAGTCCGATGACCAGCCGATGGACAATGACTTTCATGTGGACACAAAACGGTTCTCATGTCTGGAGAAGGGCTGCGGAAAGACATTTGGTTTTATGCAATCATTAATACAACACCGACTCAAACACAGCCAACGGGTGAACAAAACGGCCGCCAATTTGACCACAAAAGCCAATACAATACCCAAAGCGACGGCCGGTTCTGTGCGTACGTCGAGAACCGACTACAGCGGCGGCTATAAGTGGTACGACTCGTTCACTGGCGTCCAGAAAATGGGCCACAAGTGGTATAAAGTTCATCGTCTGAACGACCGGTCAGTCAACGCCCAGAAGGAGTCACACCGACACGACCTTAACTACCGGGGCTTACAGTCGCTTAAGAATCTTACCCAATGGTACCGATGCTACCCATTGCGAGGCCAACGGTACTACCGGTGTCTCTACGAGACTGCCTGTACTTACGGGACATACAAATCGCAACAAATGGCACAGCATTTACACTGTCTACACATCCAGACCCGACGGTTTCCGTGCCGTACGCCCGGATGCGGTCACGTGTACCTAACGCCTCAATCTCTGCGCCAACACGAGCGCAATCATCGGTGCGGTTTTGGCACCGGTAGGGGCGGCACACTGTCCGGTCCGTGCGGTAACCGAAACATATTTAAATACCGGATTGTGATGAGAGGCCCGGACGGCCGCATCAGTGCCTACGAGTGCGCCTTTTGTCACCGCCGTATGCGTTACGATATGGCCATCAAACGCCACATCCATAACCAACACCTGTGTCCGGAGCGCGTGCTTTGGGTCGAGTGTCCGCCACCGACCGGCGACACTGACTCTGGCGCTCAAACGATTGCCGCCGCGTCTGGAGTCCAGACGTTTGCCGCCAACGATGATAGCGATGGCGACGACATACAGATACTCGATGAAAGTCTGACCACCGATGGCCGCCGCGGCCGACTGCTGACCACCGCCAGCCCAGAGGTGAAACAGTGGCTCCGGGAGCGCAGTGTGAGCACCTGTACGACCGAACGGTACGCCCACTGTATGCAAAAGTTGGAGCGATTGGCGCGGATTCGACCGCTTTTTGAACGCCGCTGTATTGACGGCCTCTACCGCTATGTATGCAAAGAGTGTCACTTCGCGGCCAATAAGATGGACAACATTTGCCTCCACTTACGACTTAAACATTTTGTTAATTAAACTCAGTTTATTAAATAGCATTTAAATGTACATTATTTTCATTTTTTGGTTAATCACTGTTTTGTGTTTAAGTTTTAATTAATTATTTTTGTATTTGTTTTTTATGCAAAAAATAATTTCTAATCATTTTAAAGATAAATTTTAATTATACAACTGTTTTAAAGTATATTTTTATCATTTGATTATTATATTGATTTTATAAGTTTATAATAAGAAGTATAAATTATTATATTAATTTTTGTATAATAAATATATTAAATACTATTATCATCTAGTTTATATTTAAAATAAAGTTTATAAATGTTTGTAAGTTGTAATTAATACAAAAATAAAATAATTATTGACTGAATTAAGACTTGCACTACAATGACCTGGTAGATTGACCACTATTTTTAACCACAAATACCTAACATCAATATTAAACACCTAGTTCATTTAAAAACTATTTTCACAACTTTCAAGTTTATACTGAATTAAATACAAACTATTATTACTAAACAAACCCTAACTTCAAATACAAATGAGAAAAAAGCCTTTTAAACAACTCATTGAAAAATCACAAAAATGATGAAAATATAAATGACGTGCCGTTGGGGGCAATGACTGCCCAAACCCTCAGCCATTGGCAGTCAATACACAACAATCCATACGTTATGTCACTCCTTGTGGACGTTATTTACGTACAAATTAAGTGTTAAGAGTTGTTGTGAGAAACGCAAGTGTTACTTTATGTAATATTGTGCTTAAAATACAAAACAGTTGTCACTAAAAATAAAACAACACAAGTCTTAGCGGACATCTCGACTCCGGAGGTATACACACACAGACACAGACACTGGCGAAGACATGTGGGCATCGCGTAAGAAAGTGGACAACGCGTACGGAGTGGTGACCCGAGACAATGGCAGCCATTACTATGAGTGTCGTCTATGCGATAAAGTGGTGAAGAAGTCCGAGAAAGACATTGTTAAGACATGTGGGCATCGCGTAAGAAAGTGGACAACGCGTACGGAGTGGTGACCCGAGACAATGGCAGCCATTACTATGAGTGTCGTCTATGCGATAAAGTGGTGAAGAAGTCCGAGAAAGACATTGTCCGACACGTGTTTCGCCACATTTGGGGACAATCCGTGCCGACAACGGATCCGTTGACTCCCAGACAACAACCCGCGGCCACCAGTGGTGACAGTCGAGCCGTTAGTAATGGCCAGAAGTCGACTCCCAGTCGACAACCCGTACCGAAACCTGTGGCCAGTAGTAGCTTCCCATTCTTGGATCAGCTCAACGATCGTACGTATAGACAGAAACATGTAATAATCATGTGTTTAAATATCATATGTTTATCAATAGGTGGCAAAGCTAAATTGGATCTATTCATCAAAGACATCAATAGACAATCAAAGAGTTTGCGCACCAATAATGCGGTGATTACTGGCCGACTGCCGGCGCGCACACGTGACCAGCCGTTGCCGAAACGTGCGGCTAATGACCAGACAGTGAGAACTGTTGCGAAACAGCCGAAGACAACTACACAGAAGAGGGTTCAGTCTTCATCACAAACAAAATCACATACAACTGTTAGATCCACTGCCCAAACGAGTAGCCAGTCATCTGCTGCGGCGACCACTAGTCAGCGCCGCCAACACAGCCAACAAAAGCCAGCAAACAGAACGGCCGCAAACCTCAACACAATGGCCCTTAAAATACTAAAACGGGTCAAAAACCCGACGCCATTCCCGAACTCTACTGCTCCCGTCCACGACTGGACATACTGTCCGATTTCTGGCTATCAGCGAATGGGCGACAAGTGGTTCAAAGTGGAGAAACGGGACGACCGACAAGTGAATCGGCACCGGAAGGAGTCCTTCACACACGACCGCAACTATAAGGGCTTATTCTCGCTGAAAAA